TACCTTTGTCCATTCTCTCACAGTCCCAAAGCCACTGGATCCAAACCACAGGGCTAGGAGGAAGGGTCCCACAGGCTCATCCAAGGTTTCTGACCAAGTGAGCTTAGATGCCGGGAAGAGAGTCTGCAAAGGAGAAACAGGGCTCCTTCAGGCTCAGGTCTCTAACGGACCAAACCTACTTCCCACCTCCTTATACTCAATCATGTCCCCCATCTCCTAAGGTAGGGAGGATACATGAGTGGAGAGAGGCATAAAGGGTCTCTCTCAATTACACTGAACAATCAGTAGCTGCTACCTTTAATCCCAGTACCTGGAGGCAGAGGCAGGTGGATCCCTGTCGAGTTTGAGGCCAGCCTGGTCTACCCAGCAAACCAGGGCTATGTAGTGAGAGCCTGCTTCAAATAATAAAAACAAAAATATAAGTAGCTATGTGGAAGTCACTGAAACTTTGGAGAGTATGACAATAGGTGCAGACAAAAGACATAAGTTTAGAGACCCCGCTAGTTTTACCAGCAATTCCCAAACGAAGCATCTTGACTGTCAAACAGAAAAGAGTCAAGGGGTTCTTGGCTCACTTTTCTCTTCAGCTGCCCACTGACATCACCAGCACTAACCCTTCTCCCAGGCCACAGCCGGGGAGGATAGAGAATCTCAGTGTCTCACTACATCGTTTTCCCCCTTCCATTTGCAGTTCTTACGTAAGTGGGTGGTGGTTTGGCCCTCTGAATGTGGGTGCCAGTTAGGAGGCTTGGGCAGTCTATGGGACCTCTAACAGTGGAACCAGGATTTATCCCTAGTGCTCAAATGGACTTAGGGAGCCCATTCCCTATGGAGGGATACTATTTCAGCCCAGATACATGTGGGAGGGCCTAGGCCTCCCCCAAATGATGTGACAGGCTTCGGTGATCCCCCGTGGAAGGCCTCACATTCCTTGGGGAGCGGGTGGGGATGGGTTGGTGGGGGCATGGGAGGATGGGAGGGAGAGGGAACGGGGAAGGGGGAATTGATATGTAAAATGATTGTTTCTAAATTAAAAAAAAAAAGGTTAACTAAAAGAAAAAAGGTGGTTTGGAAACTGTGTGAATACCCACCGCCTTGGGAGACCCGCTTGTAACCCACTGTACTCAGGTGCAGACTTCTGGAGGGCTCCGTCTGCAGACCCCGCCCCTTCGGACTCGGGGCTCTGCCCCCGAGGCCGCTCCTCGCCCCGCTCCGTAGGTTACGGCTGAGAAAGGCGGGCAGCACCGGAGAGGGTGAAGTCTCTTGCCTTCCTGCCCCTCCTCCCGCGAGAGCCCACCCAAGGTGAGGGATCAGTCCACGCCTGTTTCGGGGACTCTGGGGAGGAGTGGTAATTTAGTCAGCTCTGCAACTCCTAGCATTGCACCGATGAACCACGATGCGCTCGCAGTCTGGCTCTGAGCCCCACGGGCCGGTGACAGCGAACCAGGACCGACTCCCAGCAATTCTCACCCCTCCTCAAGCATGCCATCTTTGCGCATGCGTAACGCCGCAGGCCAGATTCCGGCCGGGTCCCACTCACGCATGCGCAGATTTTTCGGGGCGATACCGGGGCGGGGCCCCGAGTCTCGTTGGTTGGGGAGGGGGGGGTTGTGCCCCGCCGCACATTGTGAAACTCCATTTCACCCCATCTCTACTCGGAACACGAGGAGACGAACCGCGAGGTCTCACCATTCCTAGGCTGCCAGCTCCAACAATTTCTCCGCGGCGACAGGAGGAGCCGCAGGGCCAAAGCCGGCTTCCGTGAGATACATCTACTTCCGGGTTGCGAGCGAGAGGCTTGAGGGATCTTTTCCGGTTCGTCCTGGAAACGTGAGCGAAAGGGGCGTGGCTTAGCGGCCCAGTCGAAACCATTTCGCCGGAAGCCGGAAGTGAGACTTTCCCGATTGGAAAAGGCACGGAGGGAGGCATTAGGCCTTAACTAATTGTAGGCACCTGAGAAGTTTCCCGGTTCAAAGAGTAGCGGGGAGGGCGGGGCTTGCGGTGAGACCTAGCCTCGGCGACGCTGGAGTCCCGCCGTATGAATTTGAGCTCCGTAATGAGCACTAAGCTTGGAGAGTCTCCCAGGAGCGAGTTTTGTGTTGTTTGATCGGCCACTGTTTTTAGGTAAAAGTATTCTGTCAGGCCCTTTGGTAAGCACAAGACTTGCTCTAGCAGGGGAGAAATGGTGTGCAGGACGGCCAGGAAGATGCAAGTCTAAGGAGGATATGCAGAATGGAGGCGGAGTTTCCAAGGAAACGCCCCGGAGAAGGAGCTGTGCCAGCCGGTTACATCAGATGGACTCCATCCACCTAGACAGTTGAGGGCAGTCGTGGGCGCCAGAAACCAACCGAACCACTTTCAGAGGACAGTGTTCCCTGAGAGAGAACTACTGGGAAGAACTAGGGGCTGAGAGATGCCTGGGAAAGCTAGGGAAACCGGACTATAATGGTTCCGTTTGTTTCATGCCCCTTTGGGGGGCACAAAAGCGTAGGAGCTGTGGCAGGCGTAGCTCCTTGGAAAAGCGTTTACTCAACGAGTCAGACGTCCTGAATTTAGGTGTCAAATGAACGACTTGCCCATCTTGAGTATGACAGTTTTATGGTCAGCTTCAAGTCCCCATTTAATTTACTGGGACTAACTTATTGAATGAGTGGGTACCTGTTTTATCTCCCCAGAAACGTTAACTTTTCTGGTACACAGTGTGCTGGTTAGAGTTTTGTCAACTTGACATTAGCTAGAGTCATCTGCGGAGAGGGAACCTCGATTGAGAAAATGCCTCCTGCACGCGGGTCTGTGGGACATTGTCTTGACTGGATAGAAGTAGGAGGGCTCGGCCAATGTGGGCGGTACTACCCCTGGGCAGGTGGTCCTGTTTTGCAAATGAAAGCAGGGTGAGCAAGCTAAGGAGAGCCTGTCAGTAAAGTTTCCTCCAGGGCTTCGGCTTCAGTGCCAGCCAAGAGGTTCCTGCCCTGGCTTTCCTTGGTAGTAGAGTGTGACACGAAAGTGATGAATAAAATAACCCCTTTCCTTCCCAAGGTGCTTTCAGTAGTAGTGTTTTGGTCTTGGCAATAGGAGGCCTGGTGGATTGTGCTAAATATAGTGTAGTTTAGTATCTGTACTAGATGAGAATTAATTGGGTGCTCTTCTCTAAAGGGTTTGTTTGTTTATTTATTTTTAACTAGGAATCTAATACTTGGTGCATGCCAGGCAAGCGATTTACCATCAAGTCACATCACCAGCCCTAGCAAGGGATCGGTCTGGTGAAGAGCCAGATTGGTAGGTCCAGTGTTTGTTAGTTGTTTTTCTTCTGATTGTGAGAAAATCCCTGAGAAAAGCAACTTACAGAAGGAGGGGTTATTTTAGCTTTCAGTTTTGTGGGGGGCAGGATACAAAGCATCATGGCAGAAAAGGCATGGTGGCAGAAGTGTGGGGTAACTGCTCATGTTGTGTCCACCGTTTGAAGATGCAGAGAGATGATGTATTGGTGCCCTAGCCCAGAGAAGGGTGTCACCTGCATTTAGGGAAGGTCTTCCCATCTCAGTTAAACCTCCAGAAACAGCCTCACAGACACACCCAGAGTGTTGTCTTCTAGGTCAAAATGGGAAAAATTAATAAAAGTATAAAAACTTAGACACCAAAGTCCATATAGAAAAAAGAAAACTTTTTCAAGCTCCTCTGAGCTCCCAAAAGGCAGCCTGACAGATAAGGCTAAACAAAGGACTGTGTATGTGGCTAGAGGCCTGAGACCAGCTAACACACCCCAGCTGTGTCAACAGTTCTCTGTCCTAAAGAAGACCACATAGCCATCAACTCTCGATTGTAAAAATCCCTGGCTCAGGAGATTATTAACAAGCTTTTTTCCCCTACAGTATCCTGATTAATTGTATCCTGCCTAAACATACAGTTATTGTTTTGTCCTTTGTAACCACGGAAGCTTTGTAATCTCAAGACTTTCAGTCTTTTGAACTTTCCCTTTAACCCTCCCTCCCCCTTAGCTGTAAGCCTATTCTACTTGCTCTCCAGTGGGTAGAATCCTCGCTGCAGCTTGCCAATAAAGAGACCTTTGTTCTTGCATTTGGTGAGTTGTCTCCTTGGTGGTGGGTTTTTTGGGGTCCCGAGAACTGGGCATAACAAGGTGACTCTAAATGAGGGTAAAATGACAAGATTAACTATCAAAAATCCACTTCTGACACCCAAGCTTATGGCCTTTGGGTTTTTTTGTTTGTTTGTTTTTGTTGTTGTTGTTGTTGTTTTGGTTTTTTGAGACAGGGTTTCTCTGTGTAGCTTTCCAGCCTGTCCTGGAACTCACTCTGTAGACCAGGCTGGCCTCAAACTCAGAATTCCACCTGCTTCTGCCTCCCAAGTGCTGAGATTAAAGGTGTGCACCACCATTGCCTGGCTGGTTTTGGTGTTTTTGAGGCTGAGTTTCTCTATGTAGCCCTGCCTGTTCTAGAACTCACTATGTAGACCAGGTTGGTGGTAGTGGCCCACACCTTTAATCCCAGCACTCAGCAGGCAGAGGCAGGAAGATCTCTGTGAGTTCCAGTCCAGCCTGGTTTACAGATTGAGTTCTAGGACAGCCTGATCTGTTATACAGAGAAACCCAGTCTTGAACCCCCTCGCACACAATAAAATAAATTGTAACATTCTCTGAAGTCTAATGCTCATTTTTTGACTGGATGTGAGATTTATTACTGGACATGATTTGGTGAGGTGCAGGAGAGCACAGTGGAAGCCATCAGGACTGCAGGGTCTTCCAGTTGTCTAGGGGATCATGACTGGGGAATGTATTTGACCCCCATAGCCATCAAGGATGAGCTGGTTCTCAACTATCATGCCTTCAAATTCATCTGCATTAAACTTGGTAAAGCCCCAAAATCATTGAGATGTGGGTCTTCTAGAGCTCAGGGAACTTGAACTTGGCTCTATGCAGGGCCTTAATTACATGTTCTTATTCTGAAACTTAGTGCAAATGGACATGATGACCTGGCCAATGTGAACCCTGGCCACCGTGTCCTGGTGCAACCCACATAGGCAGCAGGCTAAATGTGCTATCAAGGCGGCTTCTGTTTGCAGCCATTGCACATAGGCCTTCATGAAGAAGGGACTTGGTCATCTCAATTGGCTATAATCATGTTCATTTCTTTTTCTTTCTTTTGTTTGTTTTTGGAGATAGAGTCTCTCTACATAGCCCTGATTGTCCTATGACTTACTTGATGGACAAGAATGGCATTGAACTCACAAGTATCTGCCTGCGTTTGCCTCTCGAGTGCTAGGATTAAAAGCATTTACCACCATGCCTGGTTTCATCTTCCTTCCTTCCTTCCTTCCTTCCTTCCTTCCTTCCTCCTCCTCTTCTTTCTTTCTTTCTTTCTTTCTTTCTTTCTTTCTTTCTTTTTTATTTTGAGACAGGGTTTCATTGTGTAACTTTTGGAGCCTGTCCTGGAACTCGATCTGTAGACCACGCTGGCCTTGAACTCACAGATATCCTCCTGCCTCTGCCTCCCAAATTCTGGGACTAAAGGTCTACAGCCTTCTACTGCCCAGCCTTCATGTTCATTTCTGAATGCAAAATGAAGTCAGTCCATCTTTAAAAGACCCCCAAAGTCTTAACACTTGAAATTATTCAACAAGTAAATGTCTCAGAGTTCTTATGAGACTCAGGCAATCTCTTAACTGTGGGCCTCTGTAAAATAAAATACAAGTTACTTGACATACAACAGCACAGAGTAAATATTTCCATTCCAAAAGACAGTGCTGGAGATGTAAGGAAGATCAGGCCGTGGCTGGATAGGTGGCTCCACCTGTAAAGTGCTTGCTGTGAAAGATCAGGCCACCCCAAGACTGAAACCCAGCACGTTGTTCCTTCACATCATTCTGAAGTGGATTCTCAAGACTTTTGGCTAGGGAACTTGACCCTGCCATACCTTGCCTGGTCTTAAAGACTTCCTGGAACCTTGCTATAAGCTTCTATGGCTCCATAACTTTTGCATTCTGCATACTTATATGTTGTTTTTGACTAAATCTCAATCGTTCAATTTTACTAATAAAGACTTGGGAGCCAGATGCTGGAGTGAAAACCTTCTAGCTCAGAGAGGCAGAGAAAGGCTGACCTTCCGCCTCCACCAATGTCCCAGAAGGAGAGCTCTCTCCAACGCAGTTTCAAACAAAACTCTGAAACTGAATGTCCCTCCCTTCTACTTGCTCTGCATCTTTCTATTTGTCCTCCTGACTCCCTCTTATTTGCTATGGTTTTTTTCCCCTGTCAACTGGTTGTTTTTTCCTGTCAGCTTGACCTATGGTTGACTTCAAGGTTCTGTGAAATGTTTGTGCCCATATGAACTCCGCAATTTCAATGTCCTGAGCAGTTTATAGTCTGAAACTGATCTTTGGGTAGTGTTTGGCAATTGTGGCTAGGTAGAATACGGTAGTCGACCCAGAGGTGCCCGCTGTTAG